GTTAACACTGTGTTGAGTAGTTCTGGTGTATGTTGAGTACTACAATAAAGTTTATGAAAACTATTGTACACTAAAATTACTGCAACTTTAATTTTAACACTATATTTCGATTTGTCAAGAGGCTGGAGTGTTCATTCCGCGACTTTGTTGGACATATCGGCACAACCAAGGATCATCCATGCACCATGTCGGCTCCAAATGCACTCATTGTGTTAGTGATGGCTGACTGGTGGGTGGATGGGCAAGCAGGGAGGGAGCCAGGGAGGGAGGGAGGCAGGCAGGCAGAGGCTGGGAGGGAGGCAGACAGGCAGGCAGGCTGGGAAGGAGGCAGGCAGGCAGAGGCTGGGAGGGAGCCAGGGGGGGGAGGCAGGCAGGCAGGCAGAGGCTGGGAGGGAGGCAGGCAAGCAGGCAGAGGCTGGGAGGGAGGGAGGCAGGCAGGCAGGGAAAGGCTGGGAGGGAGCTAGGGAGGGAGCCAGGCAGGCAGGGAGACAGGCAGGCAGGCAGAGGCTGGGAGGGAGCCAGGGAGGGAGGGAGGCAGGCAGAGGCTGGGAGGGAGTCAGGGAAGGAGAGGATGGAGATGGATTGATGGGGGTGGGGGAGGTGTGTCGGTGATGGTGAAGGGACCGACTCGCTGATAACCCTAACTCATTGACCCAGTTAACTTTTTTTAACTTGATTTGTTTCTTAAATTCTGGATGGATGGAGGGAGGGAGAAAGGAGGGAGGAGGGATGGAGAGAGGGAGGGAGGGAGGGAAGGAGGGGATGGAGAGAGGGAGGGAGGGAGGGAAGGGAGGGATGGAGAGAGGGAGGGAGGGAGGGAAGGAGGGATGGAGAGAGGGAGGGAGGGAGGGAGGGATGGAGAGAGGGAGGGATGGATGGAGAGAGGGAGGGATGGATGGAGAGAGGGAGGGATGGATGGAGAGAGGGAGGGATGGATGGAGAGAGGGAGGGATGGATGGAGAGAGGGATGGATGGATGGAGAGAGGGAGGGAGGGAGGGAGGGATCGAGAGATCGGAGAGGGAGGGATAGAAGGAGGGAGGGAGGGAGGGATGGAAGGAGGGAGAGAGGGAGGGAGGGCTGGAGAGAGAGAGGGAGGGAGGGATGGAAGGAGGGAGAGAGGGATGGAAGGAGAGAGGGAGGGAGGGAGGGCTGGAGAGAGTGAGGGAGGGGGGCTGGAGAGAGGGAGGGAGAGAGGGGAGGGATGGAGAGAGGGAGGGAGGGAGGGATGGAGAGAGGGAGGGAGGGAGGGATGGAGAGAGGGAGGGAGAGATGGAGAGAGGGAGGGAGAGATGGAGAGAGGGAGGGAGAGATGGAGAGATGGAGAGAGGGAGGGAGGGAGGGAGGGAGAGAAGGAGGGAGAGAGGGAGGGATGGAGAGAGGGAGGAAGGAATGGAGGGAGGGAGGGATGGGGAGAGGGAGGGAGGGAGAGAGAGGGATGGAGAGGGAGGGAGGGCTGGAGAGAGGGAGGGAAGGGTGGAGGGATGGAGAGAGGAGAAGGATGGATGGAGAGGGGGATGGATGGAGAGAGGGAGGGATGGATGGAGAGAGGGAGGGAGGGAAGGAGGGATGGAGAGAGGGAAGGAGGGATGGAGGGAGTGTTACGGCCCTATTGGGTCGCAACTGGGTTCTTCTCTGATGTTATTAGAGTTTGGGTATCCGGCCCCAAGTTAGTAGTGGCTTTCAAGGGGTGTGTTCCGTAATGCAAATAAATTAAAGGGGAAGGGATACTAATGCACTGCTTTTGTATATATATTGCTACCACCACCATAAATATATCACAGTCACACGCAGGGTTGCTATAACTACACTTATTATATACAGATTAGTCTTCCTCTGAAGACACAGGATGCTCCACGGTGCTCACGATGAGTAGCCCTGGTTCTCTTCTTAGTGGCCCACGATGAATCCTCTGATTCTCTCGGCGAATCTACCCTGGCCACAGGCCAGCCAAATCACAGTCCCACTGGGTGCACCGTCGTAGAAGCCTTCAACCACAAATCCAGCCTGTAGCTGGCAGGTTCCAATCAGCTCCGCTGTGTAGGCCACTCCACGACTGATACTAGGGTGGCGAGCCCTAGGCAGGAGCCACGTGTGATTCCGCAGATCACTCTCCTCTCTTCGCACCACAGTGGGTAGTCTCCTCCACCAGCCAGCCCCCAGATAAGACGATTCCTGGTACTGCTACGTCACAGGCAGGCTAACACACTCAACAGTGTTCGTCCGGGGGTGACTCACAGCTTCTGCAGCAAACATGTGGAGAGACTATGGCTGCCTTGAATAGACTGCCCCATCGTCCAATACAGCAGTCCCAGGTCGACTCTGTAATCAGACACGTCATTAGTACTGGTTACACTCTAGGGCACCTCACTTACAGACTTAGACACAAACGTTCACCTATCCACTCCATAGATGGCGTTGCTGTCTAAGCACCACCTCACCAGAGGTCAGCAGCGGCTATGTTATGAGCTGATCAACACAGGAAACCAGCCCCTGTGGCCGGTATATCTCGTCCTCACTAGATGGCGTCATCCATTTGGAGGGGGTTTCGGGAGCTGACTCACAGATGGCATTGTCGTCACTGCTCCGTGCTACGACGCTGGACTCGGATCCGTAACAGGGAGGGAGGGAGGGAGGGATGGAGAGAGGGAGGGATAATAAGAGAGGGAGGGATAATAAGAGAGGGAGGGATAATAAGAGAGGGAAGGATAATAAGAGAGGGAGGGATAATAAGAGAGGGAGGATAATAAGAGATATAAAAAAAACTTATTTTAGAACTGATTTATTAATTTTATTATTTCGAGGCCGTAGTCACTGAACTATGGCGACGAAATCGAATGAAACAAGCATGGTGCTGTGTGTACAAGGATTAGACCCGTCCACTCACTCATGCTAGAGTTGTTCCAATAACATACAGTAATTTCTCGAATAGCAGATCTTATTACAGTATATTTTCGGTTTTATTTAGTTTAGTTTAATTAGGATAATAAAAAGCTATTAAAACACTGGTTTTAGAAATTATTTATTAATATGAAACTTTCAAAAGTCATGGGTCACTGAATTATAACGACACGAAAGTGAGTGAAACCTCACTGTAAAGTGAGGTTTACAGTACGGTATTCTCTTATCTGTCCATCCTCACTCATCTTGTTTCATCACAGAAAATGTCTATAAGGAGATTTTACCACATGTAGCTAGGTAATCATGCTTCAGCCTTTAAATTAATGTACAAAGATCAGTGCCCCAAATCAGTGAACGAAAATCATGGAAACTCAGTTGTTCACTTGTGTGGATCACTGGCTGGTGTGTGTGTGGACCATTTTGGCTGGTGTTTGTGTGTACCATTTTGGCTGGTGTTTGTGTGTACCATTTTGGCTGGTGTTTGGTTCATATGGTTCACTTGTGTGATCCAACTATTTATGAAGGAATTATTAATTGTAATCTGTGATAGAATGAGAAAGTTTTCCACCACTCTGTGAACTCTGTCCCAAAATCGTAAGCTTGTGGACCACTTGTGGTCCACTTGTGTGGTCCACTTGTGTGATCCACTTGTGTGATCCAACTTGTCATATGAGAGAATTATTAATTGTAATCTGTGATAGAATGGGAAAGTTTTCCACCAGTCTGTGAACTTTGTCTGGACATCGTAAGCAAATCCGAACATCCCCCGCTTTGGCGAACCATTGTTCGTCGAACCGGGTGAGTAAATCCGGCTTGAAAAGTGTGCGAACTAGCCGGAGATTCGTTGAATCGAGGTTGTACTGTATAGAGAAATGAGGGTGTCACACCAACATCGGTATCATCAAATGTTGGAATTTGTGAGACAAAATTCTCTCAATCCTGCCACCCAAGTATACCAGTACCACCAGCATGGAAGCCAGCTCCATGGCCCCATCATCTTGTGCTAGAGCTGCATATAGGTGTGCTAGGAGATGAGGCTGTTCTGCATAGTATAGGCTTACCACGAATACCTGATGTCAAGGATGCACTGTCGTCTTTATCCTCAGGCCGTGTGACACGCTGGCGCTTGCCTCATTGTGTTGCAGGGGCAGCAAAACCCCGCCTAGTAACACCATAGCCGCTTGTACTCAGTTCGTCAACACTACTTGTACCTGAGCCTGTCACTGAACCCCAAATATAACTCATCACATATAGTATCACCAAATAAACTCACATCAGGTGACACAGATGGTGATGGTAACTCTGGCGGTGTTGACTCAGGGCGGCGTGGGAGGCCGGGTGAGGCACATGTACTGCACACACTCGTGACATCTTCCACCTCAGTGTCCCCATCACTTGTGTCAGACCCCTTGTGTTAGGTCTTTTTCAGGACTGTAGTCTAAATCATCGGCAATCGGTCCATCATCAAACAATATGTCCTGTATTTGGTCCTCTGAGAGTTCATTTGCAGCACCGCAGCTGATTGTGGACCGGGAGCTCGTAGATGATATGTCAGACACGTTGACCAAACCACACACTAGAAAGTGAAGGGACAACGACATTTCGGTCTGTCCTGGACCATTTCCAAGTCAATTGTGAATTGAGAATGGTCCAGGAGGGACCGAAACATCGTTGTCCCTTCACTTTCTAGTGTGTGGTTTGGTCAACATATTTCAGCCACGTTTCCAGCCATATTTCAGCCACTCCTTGTCTGCCTATGTCAAACACGGTTGCTTCTTTGAAACTGAGGGTCCCTGTGGCCCTGGGGCATGCTGGAATTTTTTGTTTAAATGACGTAAAATTGTTGGAGGCATCCATTTCATACCCGAGTCACCGCTCGCCAGTTTTGAATCCTATGCTAAAAATATGAGTGCCCACAGGCGCTCTGCGCACCCCAGATCTAGTGCCTACAGGCTCTCTTCACAGTGAGGTGGTTAAACTACTGTACTCTTCTGCACAAAGAGAGATTTAGTATACACAAGAATTAAGCAATTTCTTATATTAGATGTTTTATGAAAGTTTATAAGAAGTTTAAACCATTAACAAATTTATTATTTTCTAGAAGACACGGATGACCATGAAAGGATTGAACTAATTCCGCATATCTTTGAGAATCCTGGATATCAAGTGGAGCATTCTCAAAGTCTTGAAACAATACACGAAAGTATTCTTTCACCTTCAACAAGTGCCAAGAGTGCTGCTGCTACTGTTTAATTATTGTTTACTTAATTTGTTTGGGCATTGTCATTTTAGTGTATAGGAGTTATTTAAAACTTAACAATTCCTCTCATTTGCCTCATAATATATGATGAGAGAGGGATTAGAGGCATCTGTCCTATCCTTACATGTTATGCTCTTTGAAGATAAAGCACAAAATTTCTGAGTAGTTAAACTGCAGACCTCAACTTGTCTCAGGGTTTCTAAAACATGGAAGAGTTGACCCATAAACCTGCATTACTTATGGTAAAAGTAAACAAATGTACCATTCAGTGGAGCAAGATGAGTGGTGCTAGAATGTGTGGGGTTTTGGGGTAAATACCATCAACAGAAAGAATCAAGGAAACCCTTTGCACTCCATTGTCTAGTATATAACCATTGGAATTTATAGACTGCTTTACTTATAAAAATGTGTGTGAACATTTAATTATAATATTACATAAATAATTTTCAACAAATGTTGATGTAATAATCAACGCCTGTATATTTACATATGAAAGGCTGTTATTTACTCTGAAAGAAAGTAGTAAACTTGAGCATCTTCCTCAGTTCAATAGCCGCTATATTTGTATAGGTGTTTCAGCGGCATAACAAATGGAGAATCCTCCATTAATATTAAATGATGGGCTTCCCAGCTAAGACCAAGTTGACAATGATGGCTGTTACATTGGCCAGTGTTCACCTGAAGGAAAATAGCCAAATAGGATATCAGGATATATAGAAAGAAATTAATGAAACATACTAAACCCAAACATAATTTTGTGGTGATAACATATGATACAGTATATAAAGTTCGTGTGAGTAAAAATAAATGTTGGGATTCCGATAAAACTACACTAATGTACAAATTTTAATTGTTTAAAGATTTTAAATTTTAAGGCATGTTCTTGAGTGATTAATTTCAAAGCAAATATTAACCAATGAAATTCAAGTAGCTGTTTGGAACATTTTACTTACTAGCAATATTTGTGCTTCACATTGCTCAATAGGCAAGTTAGTATGACGTATCTGCTTCCTGTCATATATTACAGTATATTGAAAATGCATCCCATAAAGGTTTCATTCAGCTGACATTCTGTAATAAGATAACTTGCTGCTGAAAACTTTTTGGTATATATTAGTTGTTATTGTAATATTATTATTTTTATTACAGTATTTGAAAATATGGAACTTTTGCAACAATTATACAATATATTATATTACTTAGGTAAGCAAGTGCAGACAAATGTCATAGCCACACCTTTCAGTATGAAGCAAGGACTTAACAAATGCATATGAAATATATATAATTGTTTTGTCTTATGTAATGAAGTAACATCTACAGCATAATGAAGTAACATCTACAGCATAATGAAGTAACATCTACAGCATGCTCTCACTAACAATGAGAACATATGAAAATAAAAAAAGTGTACACAACTTCCATAGTAGACTTGGAGAAAATTAAAAAATAAATTGTCAACACTGGGTTGACCATCCAAATGTCTTCATTTTACTTTCTGGGGGCAAGGCACCGTGTTGGGTGAGGCTGTATCAGGGGGCAAGGCACCGTGTTGGGTGAGGCTGTATCAGGGGGCAAGGCACCGTGTCGGGTGAGGCTGTATCAGGGGGCAAGGCACCGTGTCGGGTGAGGCTGTATCAGGGGGCAAGGCACCGTGTTGGGTGAGGCTGTATCAGGGGCAAGGCACCGTGGGTGAGGCTGTATCAGGGTGTTGGGTGAGGCTGTATCAGGGGGCAAGCACCGTGTTGGGTGAGGCTGTATCAAGGGGCAAGGCACCGTGTTGGGTGAGGCTGTATCAAGGGCAAGGCACCGTGTTGGGTGAGGCTGTATCAGGGGGCAAGGCACCGTGTCGGGTGAGGCTGTATCAGGGGGCAAGGCACCGTGTTGGGTGAGGCTGTATCAAGGGGCAAGGCACCGTGTTGGGTGAGGCTGTATCAGGCTTTATGTTTGGTCACGTTTGGTAGAGTACCGGGGGGGACGTTTTTCCTTTTGCTTATTTTCTCTATATTAAACTGCACTTAACAATTGAATTGATACAGAAAGGTCAAAACAGATGCCCACAATGTTAATAACAGTCAGGAATGCACTGATGGGTTGAAACGTTAAAAGGTTAACGTTCTTATAACAAATAAAACTAATAGGTGTGAGATTTTCGAATCTCTCTTTGTTGGCTATACTTGACTAAAAGAGCTATTTTCAATATTTATTTAAATATCTATTTGGGCATTATTTTGTAGTAGGCACTGATAAAATGCCTACTGTTAGAATTTATTTCAAATTCAGGAGTGTGAAGGGTTTACTTGAATTATATACTGTACATTATTATTCCTCCAAAAATGCATATTTATTTATGACAAAAATAAATTATAATGCTTTAGCATTAGTTTTACAAATTTTTGTTATTTTGCAACATTATGCTCTTCAGGTCCAATAGTGTGTGAATTAAACAAATCAAGTACAGTATTACTGTACACTATTATGTTACAATTCTAGCTCAGTTTTTCATATCATAATGATGAGAAATAATAATTTAATTTGTAATAAGTTTTCTTTAGTATATTCATATGAGAGGGAAAGGCTACAGCAGTGTCTGGGAGAATATTTTCAAGCTATAACATAAGGACAGATGCTCTCTGGTGGAGGTAACCTTCACACTCACGTTCATGCTCTCTGGTGGAGGAAACCTTCACACTCACGTTCATGCTCTCTGGTGGAGGAAACCTTCACACTCACGTTCATGCTCTCTGGTGGAGGAAACCTTCACACTCACGTTCATGCTCTCTGGTGGAGGAAACCTTCACACTCACGTTCATGCTCTCTGGTGGAGGAAACCTTCACACTCACGTTCATGCTCTCTGGTGGAGGAAACCTTCACACTCACGTTCATGCTCTCTGGTGGAGGTAACCTTCACACTCACGTTCATGCTCTCTGGTGGAGGAAACCTTCACACTCACGTTCATGCTCTCTGGTGGAGGAAACCTTCACACTCACGTTCATGCTCTCTGGTGGAGGTAACCTTCACATTCACGTTCATGCTCTCTGGTGGAGGAAACCTTCACATTCACGTTCATGCTCTCTGGTGGAGGTAACCTTCACACTCACGTTCATGCTCTCTGGTGGAGGTAACCTTCACACTCACGTTCATGCTCTCTGGTGGAGGAAACCGTCACACTCACGTTCATGCTCTCTGGTGGAGGTAACCTTCACACTCACGTTCATGCTCTCTGGTGGAGGAAACCTTCACACTCACGTTCATGCTCTCTGGTGGAGGTAACCTTCACATTCACGTTCATGCTCTCTGGTGGAGGAAACCTTCACATTCATGTTCATGTTGTTCTGCCAAAAGTGTTCATTTCTCATTGTTAAATGCCTTTTTTATATGCAAGAGTGATAAATATGTTAGTATTCTTTGTGAATATGCATTGTAAATACAGTACTTTTATGTAGAGTTTAGTCAAAAAGTTACTGTCACAAAAAGCATTGGTAATGCATTCAACTGTATCCTCTTGATATTTTGATGAGTGATAATATTTAACATTAAGACTACCTGCAATCCTATATATTAGTTTATTATATGTATGCATGTTAATTATGTGAATGGTTGATTGAGTATTTAACTAATTCTGGTCAGCAGAGTTATTGAGGTACAATATATTTAAATGAGTGCTTTATGTATTATATGTAATGTGTTTCTGGGGTGGTCCCCTTATTAGCTTCCCTAAGTTTAAGCATTTCATGCCACTAAGCCTTCTGATCGTAACAAGCCTCTGAAACCAATGCAGGCCTACCATAAACCAGGAACACAATCTAGTTCACTCAGCAAGGGGAAGAATGGGGGATCAGAGATCGTCCCAAAACTTTAGGAAAGTCATCCAAAAACCACTACTTGAAAGGAAGAAATGAAATATTGAAAATTGTCATAACAGTTGACAACAGGTGGACAACTGTTGCACAAACTCACCCAGCCACTAGCCGGTGGCAAACCAGGGTCCTGATCTGCCATCTGTCTTGCTCACACCTTTGGTACTGTTTGGGTTGCTCTGCTCCTGCTGGGAGGTATCTGTGATTCTGTTCCTTTCAAGTTACCTCACTTCCCAGTAGTGCTTGGGACTTGGTTCCAAAGTGAGGTCTGTTGATGAAGCTGTATTATAGTGTGCGTGTGTGTTGCACTTGGCCTTACTTCACAAGGTAAGGTACTAACACCTTACTTGTGTTGGTCCCTTACACCTGTTGTAGCTCGGTGTGCACTTAGGGATATTCTTCGTCCGTGGCTTTACAGGCTTTCCCTTGTTGCCTAAATGTTGACGTGGTTTGTTTGTTTGTTTTGCCGACAATGCTTCCCTTGCACCTGGCTTGGTCCACATTTATTAATGGCTTGACTTCTAGCTTCCATGTATCCCAGGAGGCTTTTCTCTCTCTGTTTTTTGTTGGTCGGGTCGTGATGTGTCCACCAAAAGTTCAGAGTCGGATAATACTGCTTGTGACTGTCCTGAATGTATTTCAATGTTTTCAGACACTATGGGTTGAGGGTGGGTGAGTGCAGTGGAACACCTTACTCTTCCCTCAGAGATACTCTCTAACCCATCCTCCAGTTTAGATGGTACTTTTTGAAACTATGTACATACATAGTATCATACAACCATTGTACATATATAGACATAATTGACAATTAGAAAAATTTGGTGCTATTCACATTATAGTCTGAAAAAATTAAGCTAAAAACCAAACTTAAATATTCCTAATTCTAGTACCCTATAACACATATATGTACTGTACTACATAAGGCCTCAGATAAGCCTATTATACCAAGGCCTAGGAAGGTAGGTTAGGTTAGGTTAAGTTTTCTTTGCAACATCAATACAGAACTTTTCCAGTTTGTCCAAATATTGCAAGGCTCTTGTTAACTTGCCTTGACTCATTGCCACAGTAAAACATTAGTGCTCACCCAAGCACTAATAACAACCACTACTGTATTTGTAGGAGTCACCTTATACAGCCTCACAGTATCCTTGGATATAATTCTTACCTGGGAATTGGAAGGATCTGCCGTTGAAGAAACGTTACCTGTATTATCTTCGTCAACCAAATAGCTCTGTTGTCATTAAAACACACATTGGTTGGCAACGGTTATTTGTTCCACTCATATATTAGGCTGACTCCCTCTATTACTTGTTCAGCTGTCCAACTTAGCTTTCAATATGGCATTATGAGTAGCAATGACACACCTGCAAATATCTCCCCATCCACCAGGCAGAGGTGGGAAAGGAAAGACATTTTAAAAATATGTATCATTTAATAAATTATGGTCTTATTTAATAGCTTCATACTAACTCTGAAGTCTCTGGGAATTACTGTAACTGCTTCTCAATCACTTGGCTTTTACAACTCTTATAGACTGAATTAAAGTGTGGAATATTATTTAACACACTTTTCTGGGCTGTCCCTCAGTAACTCATATTTGCCCTGTTATTTCTTGTTTTCCCTGAGGTGTTTTAACACTTTCGCTCACCCCGCGCGCCACCCCTCAACTGTGCGATATGGGACCCAGGGTGTCACGGGAGCACGCGTAAATTCTGAAAAGTGTGTACTCTCTTCAACTTTGTCACCTTAATTCTCGTCCTACGAGATTAAATTTGGTATCATTGTGTTCGCAATAGAATTCTCTACAGCACTAAATGCATATAAACTCCAAAAGCCCGGCTAATTACCCGCAGCAAACAGAGAAAGTGCGAACGAGTAACCCAGGAGTGCGCAAACGCGATAAAATGTTTTCACTATTTTCACTCTGGTCACCTCAATTTTTGTCCTAGGTCTTTCATTTTGGTCTCAATGGGTTCGCAATAGAATTCTCTAGAGGAACATTAGCATATAAAATATAAAACCTGGTCACGCTGCAACCGCCGACGAGTTGAAGACAGGCCACGCGTTAGCCGCAAGTGAGCGCTCAGACGCCTTCCAGCTACACTCCCAATTCCCTCCCTTTTCAAGCCTTTCTTTCGCAATTTTCTTCCTGGAAGGGCCTTGTTCATGATCACTATCCATCGTGGAGTAAGGGTAGATAGTTTCTAAAGCTGCAGTAAGAAATATAGCCACAGAAAATAGCCGAAATGTTCACACGTTTGAGATGCAAGGGGAGGCGACATTGGTCACAACAGTGGGGCGAAAACAATGGGTCCACGGCGTGTGCCAAGCCACCTGAGGGCCACGAGGCTCAACAAAAAAAATGGGAAGACATCGACGCACATTTTAAAACCAGTCCCCAAAAAATCGGATAAAAACCTGATTTTTGGCGATTATTTAAAGTGGATGACGCAATGCTGCGTCATCCCCGGTATTACTGACAGTAAACGGATGACGCAATGCTGCGTCATGCCCGGGCAAAAGTGTTAAGGTGCCATACTTTTGGTTTGTTCATGAGGTGAGAGGTGGATCAGAACCTTGGGTGACCAAGGCTACCACCTAGTGATGGTCGGGCAAGTTGGAGCAAGACTTATTCATGTCTTGCCAACTATTGTTTACACTGTTTCCATTTTATTTATTTATTTTAAGCAGTGATTTGTTTTGTCTCATTTGGACTTTTTAGACAGTTTTAACCAGTTTTTGGGTTGATTTCTGATCCCTCCATATTCTCCTTTATTTGCTGAATGGATTAAATTTAGGATGTGGTAGGCCTGTATTTGCTGGGTCTGGGTTGTTTTATGGTCTTGTAACCTGTGGGGTGTGTGCACCAGGTCCCCAGTGTGTGGGGCTGGCCTGTGCTGAGGGCTGTGCTCTCCAGGTCCCCAGTGTGTGCGGCTGACTTGTGCTGAGGGCTGTTCTCTCCAGGTCAGTGTGTGGGGCTGGCCTGTGCTGAGGGCTGTTCTCTCCAGGTCCCCAGTGTGTGCGGCTGACTTGTGCTGAGGGCTGTTCTCTCCAGGTCACCAGTGTGTGGGGCTGGCCTGTGCTGAGGGCTGTGCTCTCCAGGTCACCAGTGTGTGGGGTTGGCCTGTGCTGAGGGCTGTGCTCTCCAGGTCCCCAGTGTGTAGGGCTGGCCTGTGCTGAGGGCTGTGCTCTCCAGGTCCCCAGTGTGTGGGGCTGACTTGTGTTGTGGATGTTATGAGAAAAAATATATGGGAACGGCAATCATTTCTCCACTCTTCAATTATAACTTTGTTGCTAAGTATTTTGTAATTAACACTGATATAATAAGTGTCTTGCAAACTTCCTATTTAAAGGTTATAAACAAAGAAGTCAGTATTATTTGATATAACAAAAGTTACTTAAGGTTTGAAAGTAATATACAGTAGTATTAAGCTGATGGATTTGTTAGCAAGATGTGGTGCCCGACATGGCTGGTTAACTCATTGGATAATAACAAAAATAATTTTATACAACTACAGTAGGCCAACATTTTTATGAAATGCAATATTTCTCATGTTTACTGCAGCTGATTTGTTATCCAATTTTTGCGGTACAAAAGTATAGATCTTGTAGATGTATACACAGTTCTGTGTTTTGACTCAAAATTTTAATGATGGCCTGAATGGTAACAGATTAAATCGGTGATCAGTTGGTAGTTGTTAGAAGGAAGAGGCGAAGGAGAAACTTTTTCTCCAATTTTGGGAAGATATATTATGCTATAGAGTGTATGCTTTAACTAGTGAGTGTGCTGTATAGCAGTGACAACAGTTAGAGCCAGACTAAGCCTTTATTGTAATATAAATAGAATGACAAAGCCGAAGAGGCTTGCATGGTACTAGTGGGATAAAGATTTATTTAGAAAATTAGAAAAATATGCTTGTGACACAAAAATATGCTTGTGTTTGTAAGGAAATTGAGCTTGCTTTCCAGTGGCTTAAAAGTGAAACCTAATGTAGAATAGTGTGGTATCAGTAGTGTAAGTTCAAACAAATATATTTATAATGTGTACTATTATGAAGAATACTAATGAGTTTCAGCAAGTTGAAATATACCAAGATATAGTGCCAATAAATGGCTGCTTATATCTGGCTTGGTTGGTGTAGCCAGAAAATGTCATCCTTCATATAACTTGTTATTTTATCATACTGCATGCTTTACATCATAATTTTGCTCATGTGACAGTAAAGTCAACATGTTAACCTTTTCATATACTAAACCACGGTTATCTTTGGTGACCCATATGCGTAGCAAGGTTTTCCAAAATTAACAATTTGGAAATAAGTACAGTATGAAAAAATGATGCAGAGGAGAGGGTGAATAAGTGGCGGCTGATGCCTAGATAAATTGTCTCCCTTTAATCGGGTTCTTACATTTTTGTTAGGAAGCATTTGGTCTTGGGATTATTGTAAGTATGATAAAATATTAAATATGCACAGATATCCTTATAGTTCAAAACTGCACTGCTCATGGTAGCTTTTTTCAACTTACTAACAGACAGGTTCTTTTGGGGAAATAAAGTGTCAAATATATTGAAAGAAAAAGCTAATAAAAAAGAAGGTAAAAAGGGCTTTTTAGCACAGAACGAAAATGGAATACCATAGCTTTAAAGCACTATATTTTGAGTAACCATTTTTAAAGTGTATTATATCTTGTGCACACTATACATTTCTAAACTAATAAGGACAGTTAATATAGATGCAGAATATGGTATTATGGTGAACTTGAAAAACGTGAATTTCTGTGTTGAGCCCCGGAGGCTCCCTGAAGCGTCAGGAAGCCTCCGGGGCTCACCCAGACGCTGGCGTTTCATTCAACGCTGGTTTTTTCTACTTCCAGATTTTAATTAATTAATTAATTCTAATTCATTTAGGTAGTTATGTTACTGTACCTTAATTATACATGGTTGTCCAAATCTTTTTAAGTCGGTGCATAGTTTATAAGATGGTGCTTATGGTGAATTAAGTTATTAAACAGAAATGTGATCTACGAAGATTGCTGAGTGCAATATAGATTTAAGGTTTTACAGTATGTTTTAAGTTTCTTGCTGACAGGCAGGTTGTAGGGTAAATTATAGAGAGGTCCTCCTGCTCTTGCATTTTTCTTGTAGACATGACAAATTTTTTTATTGACTAATTGAAACATTAATAAATTGCAGATTTGAAGTAATGTTCCTTACTAAAACAGTATTTCTATAAGAATCATGATCTTGAATTGATGATGTAGCCTTTGACATGTTAGTACATGAAGGTCAGAATTTGTAGAAAGATCAACAAGAGCTTGAATCTGTTGTTACTTAGACATTGCTTAACATTAATATTCTCATAAATAATTTTATATCATCTCAGTGATATTGGAAATATACATTTTGTTTCCAGGAATTCAGCGAATTTTTCTGGGTGAGACCCGGAGGCTCCCTGGAGCTATACCAGGCTGATATGCTAATGTCAGACTTTGGCATCAGTCATGTGTATGGAGTTCTAGGGCCTACCGGGGACCACGGCCAGAACCGGGCCCCCTCAGAGAGGCAAGGGGAGCAATGGCCTATAGAAACCCCCGTGTGGTTGGAAGCATTCTATGTCTGCCATCGACCAGGTCAAGCATCCAGAAAGGTAAGCATTCCAAAACAAACCCCTATTCTGATTAAAATTGCTACCAAAAGCCGAACTAGTGGATAGAACTCCCCAACAGAAAACAAGCAAACTAGTATGACGTCACACGTCACCGCACCGCTGTCTGCGCAGCTCCCCCCTCCCCGGGAGGGGGAAGGGGGGAAGGGGGAGCCCCAGACCTCTCACGCCGGCTATCCACCCATCAGTTCTTCGGCTGATGCTATAGGCACCGGTTGTGTGCTCCGGCTCCATTAGTTGTTTCAGCACTGTACCTAGAGTGTGGTGTCTGTCTTTTAGGTGGTGTGAGAGCCGGGAGTGATTCTCCAGTACTCGGGCTGCATGCGCCTAGGGTTACCTTCCCTAGGTGCCCTGTAAGTACTGCCCTTGGGGCTTGGGGCCACCTTCCACAAGTTCCTTGGGTTCTGCCCCTGCTAGGCCGTTTACTGTTTGGTTTTCGGCCACCCTTTGTGTGCTCGGGTGTTCTGTCTCCCTTGTTCGCCTTAGGGTAAGGGGCAGTTTTGCACTGGTGGGGCGTAGGGTGCTACGCAGCTTGTTTTCACCTATATGGTGGCCGGCTCTGTTCCGCCTGGGTACGCTGTCCTCTTGCGAGGTTTTATTTTATTTTTATTTATCTGCCTAGTGACCCTTCGTTCTTGCCCCCTGTGTCCCTTGTGTTCTGAGTATTATTCCCCCCTCGCTTCAGCGGGGGTTCAGTTTGAAAGTTGTTTGGTAGCTTTGGGCTGCCTGGGATTACCTGAGCTCGAGTCCTATTAGTCCCCTTGGGGCTCATGGATGTGACCCTGGAGTCCTCCCTCGCTTCCAGCGAGTTTGAGGGTTGCTCTCACCCCTTGTCTCAGGGTGACTCTCTGTTTTGCCTCCGTCTGCTGCCTGCGGGGTCGGTGACACCTTCAACCTGGAGTCCTGCGAGTTTTGTTGCTCGATATGGCTCGGTTACCCAGTTGTGTGCTGACTATGCGGGTGCAGGCAGCAGGGGCGTTGCACGTTGAGCTTTGGTGGTGGCAACGCTCTCGTTTGTTTGCTTCCCCGGGAGCCTCGGGGCTGCCCCATTTTGGTTGGTGTTGGGACTTGGGGATGTTGGTTGCTTCGGTTCCTTCCACACCCCCTTGTCTTTCCCCTGGATCCCCCATTCCTGCCTCCATTCAGTTCCTTACCGTCTGTGGGATCGGGGTTGGGGTTCGTCTGTGGGATCGAAGCGGGGTTCGATGGTTTTGAGACTCGAGCGGTCTCGGGGAATTCCCCTTCCGGGGTAGTGACGGGGGCATTCGAGCCTGTTCCTCCAGCCATGTTGTTGCCAGTGGGCTCCCTTCCTTAGTATTTTCGTGGCTGGGGCTTTTGGGGGACGGCTTGGCCCTGGGGCCTGTTGGGTGGGTTCCCGGGGCTGACTAAGGCCCCGTAGGACCCCGCGGGTTTTTTTTTTTTCTACCCATTAGGCGGGCTTGCGGTTACGCGGAGTGGGTTTTTTTCTCCCCCCCTCGCTGTACGAGTTGTTAGGCGTTGGCCCCTTCCCGGGCTTGGTTCCTTGTCCTTTGAGTCAGTTGGTTCCATCCTGTAGGTGGGTGCTATTCTCCGTTGCTCCCCCCTTTTTCTTGGGACGGGGTATCTCCGTCGTGTTTCCCCGTTATTGGGGTTCTACGTGACTTTTGGTCTCGGGTGCGACTGTGCCTTTGTGTGCCTTCGGGAATTATGTTTGCTTCTGTGTTCTCGAGGGTTCGGGTAGGTTTTCGCTGCTTCCCGTATTATTGGAATGTCTGTCGGCTCCTAGTCTGGGTCGCCAGATTGGGCTACTTGTAGCCCAGTTGGGCTACTCGTGGCCCAGTTGGGTTCCTCTTGGGCTCCTTGTCTTCATTTCGTTGACCGGTTATGTTGTCACTGCTTACTCTTTTGCTCCTGTCCCATGTTTTTTTTGTTTTTCTTTTAATTAACGGTTCCCTAGGGTTGCTTTCTGTTTGGTTACTTTTCTTATGTAGTAGTCCTAAGTGAAGCCTTCCTGCAGAGTGGGCTGTGCAGTTCGGCCAGCGTGTCCTGCGCATGTGCCGTGGGAGTTTGTTTTGGTCTGGGCGATGTGTTCCAGTGCTGGTGTTTTGCGCCATATTTTCTTGGGTGCTTTACCTCTCGCTCTTCTCCTTTCTCTGGTATGTGCCCCGTCGCTCCGGGGGTGTCCTGGATTACAGCTGTAGGGAGGACGCCGAGGTTTTCCCTGTGTCATGGGTGTGGGCCTCCTCCTTTGCCTCTACCCTGCTCTCCTGCGTGTCTGGCTCTGGCTTCTTCACCTGGAAGTGCTCCCAGGATCTTCTTGGCACTGTTGGGCTGTGTCACGTTCGTGTCTCCATTCGACAGGTGAGTTTCTGCGGTCTGGCGTCTTTCGGCTGGGCGCTGGATGCAGAAATGTTTATATACTGTACCTGTATTTCTTTAGGTATATTTATATACAAATATGAGACCGTCGGCACACCGGTGACTGTCCCTTTTCAACCCTTCCAGTCCCACTCATATGCATGTCCAACCCATGCTAGAGTCATTCAGGGGACCCACCGCTTCTGTGATATGAGGTGTGTGGGTTGTGGTGCTGGTTATGTACTCACCTGGTTGGACTCGCCTGGTTGTGCTTGTGGGGTTTGAGCTCTGGCTCTGGTCCCACCTATATGGAAGAACATGCAGGATAGTGTCAGTGGAGAGCAGTGGTGCCATAGGCACAATCAGGGAACACTATAAACATCAGAGATCTGAGGTTGTTACATGTCCTTCCTGCGAGCATACGCCAGATTGCCGGTTCATCCATGGACATCTTGAAGAGAAAACTAGACTGTTTTCTAATAGAAGTTCCGGACCAACCTGGCTGTGGTGGGTATGTGGGCCTGCGGGCCCACATACTCGGTCCACCAAGCAACAGCCTGGTGGACCAACCTCTCACAAGTCAAGCCTAGCCTCGGGCCGGGCTTGAGGAGTAAATGAACTCCCAGAACCCCATTGAGCAGGTATCTCCGCCGTCGGTCGCCTGGTGTGCAGGTTCCTCAGCCTGCTGGGCTCTGTCGTGTGTCTGTTGGCCCTGTCTGGGGTCGGCCTGGAGTCTGCCTGCACCGTTCTCGGCTTTCTCGGAGACAAGTTGCTGCATACATGTTGCGTGTGGTGCATGTTGCTGCTGCACGTGTGCATTGGTAACGTGTTTCGCGGTGGCGTGTCCTTGTTCCTGTGTCAGGATGTTGTGGTGTGACACTTTGCTGCTGTTTTGTGCCTGGGGTTGCATGTTGGGGTTTGCTTGTGTTGTTTTTCGTGGTCTTCGGGTCCCTGGCTTGGCCCTTCTATGTGCATGGGGTTCTGTCCACGCCTGATTGTCCACCCCTGGTTGTGTTTCCTGGGGTTTGAGCTTTGGCTCTTTCGTCCTGCCTCTCCCCTGTCGCTTCCCTAGCATCTCCTTTGTTCGGTTTTGCCTGCACTTGCTGGTATATGGGGGTGGGGGTCGGTTTCTGCCGCTTCCCTTCCTTGTGCGTTCCCTTTGTTTCCTCCTTTGCCGCAGAAGTTTCCTTCGTGCGTCCCTTGGCTTCTTGGGCGTTCCTTCAGCCTGTCATATGGTGCGCTTGTGTGTCTTGGTCTGTTTTCGTTGCTCGTACCCCTTGGTTCGGGTACTGGT